AAAATATAAAAATATCCATGCATGGAACTAAATACTTACTGCTACATTATTACAGGAAAACCATTAAAAATTTGTCAAGTTGGTTTTAGGGATTTGTTATAATTAATCATAATTAGTTTTTAGGAAAAAATTATCCCTTCCTTTATAACAAGTAAATAGCGACATATAATTACAGTGTCTATTCTTTTTTAAATTATCATTGTAATTAATAATTGAAAATTCATAAATCAATATAATAAATGATAAATATATTTTTTTTAATTATTTAAAATTATAAATATATAAGGTTTTATATACTTGTTCAGTTATTTAAAACTTTAAAAATGAAAATGAAAATTTCAAACATTTTTTTATATTTTAAAAGTATGAATTGTGTGGCATTTAAAATTTTATTATAAATGTAATGTTCATACTAAACACATTCATAATGTACACATGAATTTCACTTATTTTTAAATATTTTTCAAGGGATTTGTTCACATTATTTAAATATGATAACAGTCCTTTGTTAATAAGCGTTTTGTTATAAATATATATTAAAGATAAATTTGAGTAATATGATTATTGTTTTAAATTTTTTATTTACATTTTAGTTTTTTGAAATCACTTTCAATTAATTGTGAACAAAACCAAATTAACTAAAATCTAAAATAAAAAATATTTATTCCAAATTAATTGTCAATCATATCTATTAATAATTAGTTGGACAAGAAATAATCAATTGCACATATATATAAATAATTTCTTATTAAATATACTTTGATTTTATTTATATTTTGGTAAAAAGGATACCTTGTAAAAATATTTCTCACAAACTCTGATGAATTTTTATTTTTGTGTAATTGTCTTTTCTTTTTTTTTTTGAAATATTTCAATCGGCTCATCTTTCGCGACTAGTCCGATTCGAAGCAGGTCATAGATTAAAGCTTTAAACTCCTTCCAAAAACGGTAACAACCACCTGTTCAGTTTTCTGGCGTCAACTGAGCTATCATCATTTGATCTGTAACTTAGACCCGTTTGTTTGACCTTTTAAAAAAGCAGCTTTTATACCTTACTTATTTTAGAAGTGTTTTTTATAAAAGTTAAAATTATTTAGATTTTTTAAAAAAATATTTGTCTTTTAATTTTTACTTTTTTTAAAAGCTAAAATTTTCAGTTAAAAAAAATAGGTTTTTGACTTTTTTTTATGACTTATATTTTTTTAAAGCAAAAATCCAAACAAACTTACAATGAAAAATGCTTTTATTTCTTAAAAAAGACAATTTTTGAAGAAGAAAAAAAGCTTATCTAAAACGGACCCTCATGATCCTTAATACCTCTTCACTTGGTGGTTGTCTATTAAATTGGAGAAACTTTTAAGTTTGTGAAAAAAATGTTATTGTGAGATTAACATTTCTCTTCTTTTGACCAAGACGCTAATGCACTTGGCCGGTGAGTCAGCAATTTAGCGCACACGGCAATTCAAAATAATTACGAAGTAGTTAGTGACATGAACTTTTTAGGTCAACAATTGTGTGGGTCACTTGCATTGTATAGTTAATAATGGTGGGTTGGGTTTGTCGCTTTGTCTTGTGGTAAGGCATAAAAGGAGTTTGCTGCGTCCCAAGTTGGGTATATCAAATATTGTGGTTCTAATTGAAAGCGATATTAACGTGGATCATACATCATTCCAGGTTCATGAACTGCTTTTTTCTTTGCTTTTCAAAGTGTTTTTAATAACGTAATTTTCTTAGAAGTGGCAATTCATGTCAACACATCACATGAATATGAATATATTTAATATGAATTTGACAATAATTTAAAATTGAGTTATGATTTTTGACACGAACACGCATACAATCTACTTATTTTATGGATTGACACGATAAGACACGATTAACCTGCAAACTCATACACAACACGATAAGACATAAATAACTTGTTTACGACATGAATAACCTGTAAGAAGATTAATGATGGTCAATTTTGGATTTGTGGATTGACACGACACGAATTTGAAAATGAGTTAACCTAAAAAAACATTCTGTTATGAAAAAGTAAACAATACATTTTTACTTCCTAATTTATATGTAAAATTTTAAATGGTGAATATGATTAACAGTTTATTTCAGTAAAATGAATAAATTATGCATAGAAGTTTTTTGCTATGGTAGATTTTAAATAGCGAAAAATTGTGATTAAATGAATTCAGTAACTTGCTTGCGTTAAATGTTTTAAATGTTTTTTATTTAAATTATTTTTGGTAACTATTCAATTAATACCACTTCGATTAATATGAAACCTAAATTCACTTGATGGGGTTACTTAAGTGCATTTAATGTATTTAAAACTTAAATTGGAAACATTAAATTCCCCATTTTTTAATAATTATTTTGTCTTAACCACTCAAAACATTAATTTAAAATCTTTAAAATTATTATTATTTAATATAAAATAAACTCTTAAAATAGTCCTTAATAATAATTAGTATTTTTTCTTTGTAAATAGTCCTTGAGAAATTTATCATTGAATAGTTTAGTTTAGGGAATGTAAACCTGCCCACCCCCAACTTAACCATTTAATAACCATAAATGTTGATCATATTGGTATTCATGTAAGATTAAAGTCGATACCTGAGTGCCCAATGGTTTGCATTGGTCAAGTTCAAACCTTGATTAAAGTAAATTCTTGAAATTCTTTGGGGGTTATATTAGGTATGGCTCGTACTTCGCATGTTAATGAGAGCCTTTATTTACAGGATCAGCAGAAAGACAATTAGGGTCCTGTAGAGGCCAGGTATTGTTATGGAGCTCTGATTTAATATAATTTTTTCTTTTTCTTAGTAGTTTGGGCTAGGATCCATGAACAACTGATGTTAGGATTTTCTATTTCTATTTATATTTTCCTTATAAACCAAGTGACTTGTAAACGAGTGGCGGTGAGGTGAATATAGTACAGACAAGTAGGACGTAGCTTACATTGGGTGAACCAAAGTAAATCACTATGTCAATTTTCTCTCTCTCTCTCTCTCTCTTTTCGTTTGCGATTTGTGTGCTATGTAAATTGTTGATTTCCCACATTTGGTATCAAGAGCTTTGGTTTTGCAATTGGGGTTTCTGTGGCAGATTAGGGTTTCGCAATTTGGGATTTTTTCTTGGTGTAGAGAAAACTACGAAATTGATCTGGAAAGGATGTCGACTGGCCAATCACGGATCGAGGTTGAAAAGTTCGAAGGAAATGGGTTCGACTTATGAAAGTTGAAGGTGGAGGCTTTGCTCGTTAACATAAACGTGTGGCATGCGATCAAATATGAGAAGTCATTGGTACAAATGAAAACCGTCAGTGACAAAACATCGAAGAATGGTGAGTCAAAGGAGTTGAAGGCGTGGACCAAAGACAATTGAAAGGCGCAAAGCCTGATCTAGTTATGTCTGACAAATAACGTTATGGTGAACGTAACTTCTGAGAAGACAACAAAGGATCTCTGGACAATGCTGAAAAGTCTCTATCAAAGCAAGTCACTCGTGAACAAGTTGTTCTTGCAAAAGAAGTTGTATAACTTGCGGATGAACAAAGGTGATTCTTTCTCTATTCATTTAAATGATTTTGACGCTATTTGTGCGCAACTTTCATCTATAGATATAAATCTGGATGAGGAAGATAAAGCTTGTACCTTGTTGTGTTCACTGCCAAACTCTTGGGAGCACAACATTGTTTCAACCGGGACTGACATTAATAAATTGTCATGCGAAACAATTGTTGTTGCGCCTATTGTCTGAGGAGAGGAGAAAAGTAGGTTTTGAAGGTACCAATAATGAGGCTCTGGTTGTTAGAGGGAGAAATGATGACATATTGAAGTCTGGTCAGAGAGGAAGATCGAGGGGACGATCAAAGTCCCATGGTAAATTTGAAATAAGGTGCTAGATGTGCAAACAGGTTGGACGCTTAAGGAGGAATTGCAGAAATAAAAGCATAGGTCCTTTTGAGAAGCGGGATAATACACCACCTTATGGTTCTGGTATAAAGAAGGATGATGGAGATAGTGCAGGGGACCTATACATGGCGTTCGACAGTCATAGCGACTGCAAAGACTGGATCATTATGCTTGAGCATCGTTTCATATGACACCTCATAGGGAGTGGTTCTGCACCTATAAATCATATTCTGGTAGTACAGTCAGAATGAGATATGACATGACTCATGCTATTATGGGACGTGGGAAGGTAAAGCTGAAGATGAATGACAGAACAGTTAAGAATCTGCCATGCGTGATGTATATTTCAGGGCTTACTAGAAATCTGATCTCCGTTGGTAGGATGGCATATGCATGTATTAATTTCAGCAGTGACAAGTATTCTTGCAAGCTAACTCGAAGAGCTTTGGTGATTGCAAGAGGAGAACACCATGGTAAACTATAGAAGCTGCTGGGCAGCACAATGTTCAGTGGTGAAAGCTACATAGCTGAATAGGCGAAGAAGGGCACTATTATGTTATGGCATAGGAGGCTATGGCATATTGGAGGAAAAGGTCTGGAGACTCTAACATCAAAGAAGTTGGTGGATGGAATTCCGAGCTGCTTTATGGGATTTGGATTTTGCGAGCATTGCCTGCAAGGGAAGCAAAATCGAGTATCTTTTGATTCCATAGGAGGAAGAACTGAGGGAATTATGGACCTGATACACATCGATATATTTGGCCCCACGCCTATAACATCACTTGAAAAATCAAGGTATTATGTTTCTTTTACTGATAATTTTTCAAGATATATGTGGTTATATTTCTTACTCAACAAGGATGAAGTGTTCGATAAATTTTGTGAGTTCAACGCTTTGGTGGAAAATCAGTTTGACCAAAGAATCAAGGTGTTGAAACTGACAATGAAAGGGAGTTATATTTAACAAAATTTGATCAATTTTATACGAGCAATGGGATTGCAAGGAAGAAAACTACGCCTTACTCACCTCAATAGAATGGGGTGGCAGAGAGATTGAATCGGTCTCTCGTAGAGAAAGGACAGAGTATGCTGAGCGGTGCAGGCTTGGTAGCTGAGTTTTGGGCGGAAGCAGTGGCTACTGCTTGTTATCTGAAGAACAGGTCTCCTACATCAGCCTTGAAGGAGAAGATTCTGTATGAAGCACTGTTTGGAAAAAGGACAGACGTATCTCATATCAGAGTGTTTGGCAGTGAAGCATATGTGCATGTACCCAAAGAGAGAAGAAGCAAGTTTGACAGTAAATATGAGAAGTGTATCTTTATTGGGTACAAGGATGGTGTCAAAGGGTAAAGTTGTGGAATCCTAATACTTGAAGTGTAACTTACAGCAGAGACGTTGTGTTTAGGGAATCTAAGTCGAATGAGATTTTTTTGAAAGATCCTGAAGAGCCACAAACTGTGGAGTTAGATGTGGTTTGAAAAAAGATGCAATAAACTCACAGGTTGGAGTGGAAAGTTCAAATTCAAAAGTTGCTGAACATAATGAGGTTGAAGATGAAGATTCTGAAACTGAGGCTGAAGTCGAAGCACCAATGCTAAGAAGGTCCACAAGGAAACAAGACCATCTGAGAGGTATACACCTGAAAACTATATTCTCTGTGCTAGTGATAATAGTTATACCCTGAATATTACAGGTGATGATCTAATCACTGTGAGACAAGCTAGAAACTCGGAGGATGTCAAACAGTAGGAGGAAGCAATGAAATATAAGATAAAGTCAGTGATGAAAAATTAAACTTAGAGTTTGGAGAAACTACCTGCAGACCAAAAGACGGTTGGTTACAAGTGGGTGTTCAAGAAAAAGGTCGGTGCTAATGGAGAAATTGAGCGTTATAAGGCTTGGTTGGTTGCAAAGGGATATTCACATAAAGAAGGGGTTGATTATGGTGAGGTGTTTTCACTTGTTGCAAAGTTAAATTCCATAAGGTTGATTTTATCTGTAGTAGTTGTATATGACCTAGAGGTGGAACAGCTGGATATGAAGACGATTTTCCTTCATGATGATTTGGAGGATGTTATTTACATGAAGCAATGATAACTCTCTAAAATAGAGTTATTTTTAGGCTTATATGTGATGATTTGGTGCCACACTTGTGCATAATTCTCTTGATTTTACATGATTATTGCATGAATTTTATATTTTCATGATTTGAATGAGAAAAATGCTAAGTGTTGATATTTGAAGATAATTTGAGTGTAAAAACCATTTATTTCATTTTCTATTTTATTGCAGGTCCGTGCTGTAGCATTGGAAAACAGTGATGTAGCATCGAAGATGAGTTCAGCAGCATGTCTAGTTGACATCATCACCAGCAAGCTATGGACCCAAGCCCAAATTAATAGAGAGAAGCTTTTGAGCACGAAAATAGATATTCTGATCTGAATAATCACTCAAGGATCTTCAAGAATCCTAATCAAATATCCCACAAATCAGCGCGCACAAATCCAAAGCAAATCTGAAGTATATTTGGAAAGATTTGGAGAAGATATGCAGCAGCATTATGTGTTGTCCCTGATCAGCGCTGCAGCAAATAAGGAAAGAATCTCCAATCAGTGCTGCAACAAAACAGAGCTGTATCTTCAATCATAGTTGCAGCAAATAAGGAAAGAATCTTCAATCAGTACTGCAGCGAAACAGAGTTGTATTTTCAATCATATCTGCAGCATATAAGGAAAGAATCTTCAATGTTGCAGCAAAACAGAGTTGTGTCTTCAATCATTGCTGCAGCAAAATAGAGCAGATTTGAACATGATTTGTAATGGATTTGAAGAGCTAATTGGAGCCCAATTCATCAAAGTCTATAAAAAGAGGAAGTCTACACACATCAAACAGGTTGAAGAGTCTCTCTTTGAGGCTGGTCAGCCTCTCTTTTAGAGAGAAGATGGGCTTTTGGAGAGATCCAAGTGTGAAACACTTAGAGAGATTTTGAGGTTTGTTGAGAGAGATCCAACAGATCAAAGGGTGAGGCTAGAGTTTAATAGAGAGATCATTGAATCCGGTGGATCCCTGCACTGTTTCGGCGGCTGAGATACGGTGGATGGTGGCTGAGCCCATGGTTGCTGCGAGAGCAGTGCTACAGCAACGCCCCTGTTTGTTTTATTTTAGCTTTATGGAATCTTTATCCCTCTTTGTTGTTTCTTTCTATTCAAGTATGGCCTAAATTGTTAGAATTGAGTGATAGAGTACCCTTATTGTGATGTAATCAGTTTGCCTAAACTTTGTTACATGATTATTCTTTTGGTTGTTTAATAAAGTGTTTACATTGTCTTTAATCTTGTTGATTCATTGAGAGAGAGTTGCAAGATACTTAGGATTTAGGCTATAGAGATATAGGTGAATCCTGAAAGTTATTAAACATTGTGGTTTAACTAAGTAAAATTGGTTAATTATGGGTAGAGAGATCATTCACACCATAAAATCATATGGAACTTGAACTTAATGATTTATAACTATGTTGGCCATAGAGATGTGGAACTTAGTATACATGTATTGTTGGTTAGAGCCCTTGCATGCATTAGTGTTCTGATTACTGGTTGGATGATTGTTGTTGCATTGTGACTGCATTCTGGTGAAACTGCATTATTGGGGAAATTGATCCCAATCTACTTTGTTACTTGACGTCTTTGTTCTTGAGTGCACTCTTAGTTTATTTTTACTTTGCTTTTAGTTATTAGTCAGTAGTTAGTATTATTTTACTCTTTAATTCTTAATTCACAAAACTTTCATAAACATTGTTACCTTTATTGCTTCACATTGATCCCAACTTTATAGTTTTCTTCGTGGGAACGATATCTGGACTAACACATCCACTTTATTACTTGTTGACACGTGCACTAGCGTAATGTGTGATTGATAAAAGGGGTACACAATTGCACAACAAGCAACCAGAGGGGTTCATAGTAAAAGGAAAAGATGAGCTAGTCTGCAAGTTAAATAAATCTCTATATGGCCTGAAGCAGTTCCCCAGGACGTGGTACATGAAGTTTGACACTTATGTGATGAAGCTTGGCTTTGACTATTGTGATGTTGATCATTGTGTTTATGTGAAAAGGTTAGAAGGCAACATTATTATTCTAACTTTGTATGTTAATGATATGTTACTCGTTGGAAACAATTTGAAGATGATCAGCATTGTGAAAGGACTACTGACAAAGAAGTTTGAAATGAAAGATCTAAACGCTGCAAATGTGATCTTGGGTATGCAGATTAAGAGGGAGCGTGACAAAGGAAGATTATGGTTGAGTCAGCGGAAGTACATAGAGGATGTTTTGAAGAAATTCAAGATGACTGATTGCAAACTTGTGTTGACTCCCATGTCTATTGATTCTAAGTTATAGGCTGACCAGTGTCCCAAGACTGAAGAAGAAGAAGAAGAAGAAATGGCATCAGTTCCTTATGCTAGTGCAGTTGGGAGTCTGATGTATGCAACAATCTATACTCGTCTTGATATTGCCCAAGCAGTGAGAGGATTGAGCAGGTATATGTCTAAGCGAGGAAATGAGCATTTGATGACGGTGAATCGTGTGTTCCACTATCTTCGTGGTACATCTAACATTGGGTTATGCTACGAAGGCGTAAAAGGCTCAAGGAGACAAACATTATTAGAGCTGAGATACTTTGTGGATACTGATTGGGGATATGACATTGATATTATAAGGTCTACAAGTGGATATGTTGTTTCCTCATTCAACGGAACTATCAGTTGGATAAGTAAGAGGCAAAACACTGTTGCTTTATCTACTACAAAAGCTGAGTACATGACCTTGTCATATGCTGTCAAGGAAGCTATTTAGTTGCGAAGGTTGTGCAAAGAGCTTGGCTTTGCACAAGGAGAGATGATAGTTGGGTGTGGCAATTAGAGCGTCATTTTCTTGGCTAAGAACCTAGGTTCCCATGCAAGTACCAAGTATATCGGCATATAGTACCATTTCATCAGAGAGAATATTGAAGACAAGGTTGTGTTGCTGGAGAAGGTTGACACAAAAGTCAACAATGCTGATTTTCTGACAATGGCAGTGACTTCAGAGAAGTTTGAATGGTGTATAGCTGTATTGAGATTCAAGAAACATGTGAAGCATTCACCAAGTGTGAGAATGTTGGGTATGGCTCATAGTTCGCATGCTGAGGAGGGCCCTTGTTGTCGAGGTCAGCAAATAGGCAACTGAAGTCTCGTAGAGGCCAGGTACTGTTGTGAGCCTCTGATTTGTTGTAATTTCTTTTTCTTTTTCTTAGTAGTTTTGTTTTGGGCTTACGAATAGTTGCTGTTAGAGTTTTCTAATCCTATTTATGTGTTCTTCTTGTAAACCGAGTGACTTATAATGAGTGGCGGTGAGATGAATATAGTACAGACAAGCTGGACGTAGCTTGCATTGGGTGAACCAAGGTAAATCACCATATCAAAATTCTTTCTCTCTTTCTCTTTTCTTTTGCGATTTGTTTGCTGTGTAAATTGTCGATTTCCAACAGGCTAGATGGAAATCGCCTCCTCCTTGAAAGGGAAATGATCTCACCAGTCCTTCGGTGACAATGGTACAATGCACCATCTATTCTAATAAGGAGCTAGTCTTAGGACAGTACTTTAAGGATAAGATGGCTGAAGGAAGTTATATGAGAATACCTCTAGGTTATCTATAAAAAAAAAAAGAGACTAAAGTTTGTAAACACATATGCTAGAGTGAATGAATAATAGATTCAAATAGAAAAAATGTGTATATTATTATTGCATAGCCTCGGAGACTCATATTATCCAAGCAAGAACATTATTCCATAATGTTTTCACTGTTTGATTCTTATAGTGAAATCAAAATATTTCAAATTTTTTTTCTTTAACAACATGCCCCCTTTTATTTTTTTTTTTTTAAATGTACCAAATATAAAATAAAATTTATCTCTCCAAATATAAAATAAAATAAAATATGGGTAAAGTATTTTTCCAGGAGATAACTTATCTCTAATGATCTCAAAATTACGTCATTTTGAATTAATGAAAGATATTTTTGTAATTTTATTTATTTTTATCATATGAATTTTATCGAAACACCCTTCATTAATTTTCCTAACTTACTAAAACACTTTTTATTAATTCAAAATGAAGTAATTTTTGAAGTAACCGGAGATAATTTATCTCTGAAATACTCTACCCATAAAACATAATCAACATTTATAACTTTTTAGGAACTAATATAAAATTTTTATAATCTCAAGAACTAGTGGATCCATCTCTTTTTATCTAAATTAAATTTAGGGTTTTTTTTTTTTTTTTTGAAATATGTATAATTTTTGAAAAATATGTATAATTTTCGAAAAATTCTTACCAAATTATGCTTCGTATCCAAAAATAGCCGATCCCTTTTTCTACGACTTTGTCAACTAGTCTCTCTCAGAGGTCTCAACTTAAAATTTAAGAAAATCATTATTTCTCATAAAAAAAAGATAAAAAAAAACACAAGTGGTTTCTAATTTATAGAGTTCATTGGTGGGGGGAAGAATATGACAAAGAAACCCCACTTTCCATTTTCAATGCACAGCAGATACATTGCATGTGGTGGGAACAACGTTCAATGTACGGGAATCCATTTCTATTTCCACTTCCAATAAAAGCCTTTCCTTTCACGAACCTCTACCCTTCATTTTTCTTCTTCATCTAACCTTTTTCTCTTCTCTCTATTCTCTTTTTTTGCCCTATCTCTTAGGGTTTCACCGTTTTTCTAGCTCCAATTTCTCTCTTTCTCATGCATTCTTGCTCTCTAGACTCATACATCGCCATCGCAGTCACCGTCTTCTTCTTCTTCCCCGTCTTTTTTGCTCTCTTTCGAGGGTTCTTTCGTGGAGAACAGCGCAGATTTGATCTCCCGGGGTATTTTGAGCTGCACCCATGTCTAAAGTCTTCGGCTTTTCCGGTAAGTTCATCGATTTATCGCGTTTGATCCGATTCATGGCTTTATCTGTTGTGTTTGTGGTTTTGCCCCAAAAAATTGTGACATATAGTTGTGTATATGATGCTTTTGTGGTGCATGAGAAGCTTTTTTTTTTTTTTGTATATATATAATAATTTTGATTATTTTTCTTTTAGAAAAAACTCCTGGGCTGCCCTTAATTTGTTCTGTGTCATGGATTATCATGTGGTTGAGTAAATATGTGAAATTTGAACTGTGTAATGAAAGTTTTGTATGTCATATGCTGATGATCTAATGTTATATATATTTTATTTTCTCGTTGGGGTTGATAAGACTAGTATTTGTGTTTTGCATGACAAATCCTTTTGATTGATTAGCGGATCTGATAAGAGATATAAATAGGTTCATAGTCCTATTTGTTGCCAAGTTAGTGAGATATTTCAGCATAGGATTGTTTGAATAATTTTGTTTTTAGTTCTTGGTCTTTGCTTCGAATTGGATTTTGTTTTGTGATCCTCCTAGCATATGGTTCTACTTTGAGTAATTTATTTTGTATACGTCTGATGTTAGCAATTTTGTTCAAAGTTGATCTGAACTTGGTGTTGGTTTTGGAGGATGCAACAAAGTTATTAGACACACCTGGAGTTCTGTTGTTTGCTCAATTATTTCTTTCATAGAATAGACACTTCATTTTGTTCCATATGCTGGTTATATCTACATGTTTCATTATGTTTAAATGCTCAGTTTGTTCTTTGCTGACTTTGCGCATGCATTTGGGTTCTCAGGAGGTGATGATTTTTGCCCTGGGGGGTCAATATATTCCAACCCCAAGGAAGCAAGTTTCTTCCTGTCTCTTGGCCATGAAGTTGATGTTTACTTTCCTCCTCGGAAGAGATCACGCATCAGTGCGCCAATTGTTTTCAATGGAGAATGGTTTGAGCAGATGCAGAAAACATCTATTGAAGCTTTGCCAGATGAATGCCTCTTTGAGATCTTTAGAAGGTTGCCTGTCGGCAAAGAAAGGAGTGCATGTGCTTCTGTGTCTAAGCGCTGGCTTATGCTTCTAAGCAATATCTGTAAGAATGAAATCTGCAGCAACAAAAATACCCTCCTAGAGGAGAGTGAAAAGGAGGGTGATGATGAAGAATTTGGAGGTGAGGGTTACCTCTCTCGAAGCTTGGAAGGAAAGAAGGCAACGGATGTTAGACTTGCTGCCATTGCTGTTGGAACTGCATCTCGAGGAGGATTGGGGAAGCTTTCAATCCGTGGAAGCAACATGGATCGTGGGGTGACTACTCTAGGTCTCAAAGCAGTTGCTCATGGATGTCCTTCTTTAAAGGCTCTTTCTCTATGGAATGTTGCTACCATTGGTGATGAAGGCCTAATTGAGATTGCTAATGGATGTCAAAAGCTAGAGAAGCTTGATCTTTGCAAGTGCTCCTCAATTTCTGACAAGGCTTTAGTTGCGGTTGCAAAGAACTGCCCGAATCTGACCGAGTTATCATTAGAATCTTGTCCTAACATTGGTAATGAAGGTCTACAAGCTATTGGGAAGTTCTGCTCCAATCTAAGGTCTATATCTATCAAGGACTGCGCTGGTGTTGGTGATCAGGGAATTGCTGGCCTGTTTTCTTCAACTTCTTTGGTTCTGACAAAGGTGAAGCTCCAGGCACTGACTGTTTCTGATCTCTCTCTTGCTGTTATTGGACATTATGGCAAGACCGTTACTGATCTTGTCCTTAATTTCCTCCCAAATGTCAGTGAGAGGGGGTTCTGGGTTATGGGTAATAGTAATGGATTGCAGAAACTAAAGTCACTCACAATTGCATCATGCAGAGGGGTAACAGATATTGGGCTTGAAGCTGTAGGAAAGGGATGTCCAAATCTGAAAAGTGTACACCTTCATAAGTGTGCATTTCTTTCAGACAATGGGTTGATATCATTCACCAAGGCTGCTTCATCACTTGAGAGCCTGCAATTGGAAGAGTGCCACAGAATTACCCAATGTGGGTTTTTTGGTGTCCTTTTCAACTGTGGCACTAAATTGAAGGCTCTTTCTCTGGTAAGCTGCTATGGAATCAATGATCTGAATTTGGTATTGTCACCGGTATCTCCTTGTGAATCTCTCCGTTCATTATCCATCCGGAACTGCCCTGGATTTGGCAATGGTACCCTTTCTGTACTGGGAAAGCTGTGCCCTCAGATTCAGCACATTGAATTGAGTGGACTCGACGGAGTGACAGATGCAGGGTTTCTTCCACTGGTTGAGAGCTCTGAGGCTGGTCTGGTTAAAGTTAATCTTAGTGGTTGCATAAACCTTACAGATAAAGTAGTTTCATCCTTGGTCAATCTGCATGGTTGGACCCTTGAGAATCTGAACCTTGATGGTTGTAAAAATATTGGTGATGCAAGCTTGATGGCAATTGCTGAAAATTGCTCATTGCTTTGTGACCTTGATGTTTCCAAGTGTGCAATCACTGATGCTGGGATAGCAGCCCTGGCACAGGCGAAACAATTAAATCTGCAGATTCTTTCTTTGTCAGGTTGCACTTCGGTTTCAGACAGGAGCTTGCCGGCTTTGAGAAAATTGGGCCACACCCTATTGGGACTAAATATCAAGCATTGCAATGCAATCAGCAGCAGCACTGTTGACATGCTTGTGGAACTTCTCTGGAGGTGCGACATCCTTTCTTGAGCTGGAAGAATTAATATCGCTGTGCAATTTAAGCCAGGATCAGAACAAGCAGGAGGCTTGTTAGACAGCTGTTATGATTAGTATTTCACAGTAGTTTTTGGGTCCATTAACTGTGGGTCTTGATCATCCAGTGACTCGGTTCCCTTTTTCCAGAGTATGCAGTCATTTAACCTTTTTTTTTTGCAGTTTCCTATAATTGGAAATCTGTTAGAAGTTTTTTTGGCATCCTGTTGTGGATAGCCACCTTTTAAATGGCTGTATATCTCTGAGAACATAGCCACCGGGTTCTGGAGTTAGGAATCTTTCTTACTGATGTTGGCACCTGATGTTTTTAGCTCCGCTTTGCATCAGTTTTGCCACCATGTGCGTTTTAGTTCCCCATCTAAGTTTTTTACAGTTATCTGTATCAGAGTCTGTCTAAAGTTGTTTACCACATATGCCACGTTTTTGAACCATGTTCTTCACGTGATGTTTGGGTCTCCCTTTTATTCAAGGGGCAGTTTTATATTGCAGTGTATGTGCTGTTTTTAGGCTGGTTGCAGTTGTCAGTTCAGAGTTATGATGCCTTGTCTTTTCTGGGGCTTTGGCCGTGGCAGCAAGTTATACGGGTCTGTCATGACAATCTTCTCCCTTTGGGAAGGATTGTTTTTTATACCAAGCCCTAGTTTTTTTAGGCTTCATTTTTTATGAACTTGTCACTGCAACTTCTATATTGTGTGATGATGTTGAAATCTGCCCTTTGTGCTGTATGTTATATTGTGAAAAGTAATGAAATAAAATTTGCAGTCTCATTCCAAAAGCAATGTGTTGATATCTCTGTGTGCTTAGATTATACTCTTTTTACAAGAAATTTTTACAATTTTCTCATTCCCATCAAATAATATTTATTTATCTATATAACGGAAGCTTGTTATATTTTAAAGAATCAATTCAAAAAATTAATTTTAAGCATGAGGTGAGTATAATAATGATTTTATATTATATTTTTTTAATAAATATATAGAGGATAGTTATACTTACAATTTATTTTTATTTATAATTTTTCACAACCATAATTTTGACTGTTGATTTTCGTCAATCAACGGATATCATTTATTGTGAACTAATAATTAATTAATAAATTTAATTTATGAAAATAATAACCGTTGATTGACGGAAATCAACAGTTAAGGTTATGATTGTAAAAGGTTATAAACAAAAATAGGTTGTAAGTATAACCTTTTTTAAATATATATTAATAATTTTATATTATATTATATATTTCATTTATGTTTGGCTAGTCAATGTTTTCTGTGTATGATTTGATGAGAAGTTTAGAGAGTGTAATTGAGTTGGTCACATTGTTTTGCTCATAGAAGTGATAGCTTTTGGGCTTAGATGTATCCATATGGTAAATCCTTGGCTTGCTGTTTGAATGTTGAGTTGGGAAACTTTTAATATACTACCACGGCACCCAATTCTGTATACATCTATTCAATAAAAATTAAACACCTAAGCACACACAGTAAAATGTAAAAGACAAAAACACTGTTTAAACACACATGTTTAATTCTTAATGGCAGTAGTATCTACGACGGTTGCACGGAAGATGTGCTCGTTGAGTTGAGACCGGGGAGAATAGTGAATACTGTAGCAGTACTTGACTCACTTGTAGAATAATTTGTGAATCATGTATGTTGCCTTTACTTTTCACAAACTTGGGATATTAGGAATCTTTTGGAATATTAATCGGTTTCAATTAAAGCTCTTAGGTTCATGGACAATATTGTCAGAGACTTCAATGTGGCACATGCACTTCACATGCATTGTCAAGTAAAGCAATCATTCATTCATGTACCAACTTGGAAAGTCTCCACTTTACTAGACATATGAAGCTTTCCTATGCCCTTCTAGCTATGCTATAAAGACAGGAGTAAGCTAAGCTTGGAAGACGAAAAAAATTTCAATGCACAAGAAATATCGAACTCGGTGTTTTTTTTTATTAAATAAGAATTATTATTTTTTATCCATATTTTTTTTATATTTTTCTTTAAATCTTAAATATTTTTTCTGTTTAATAAAAAGGAGCACCAAATTCGATGATACATGCATTGAAGTTTTTAAAACAAGCCCCACTTGGTAATTTAAAAGGAATTCTATGGTTTTGGTTACGGATTCTCGAGCGCATGTAATCTAATTATCTAGTCAGCATTATGATTGTTATGTGATGGAGATTGATCACAGATAAAAATATCTTGCTGTGTTTGATTTGAGAAGCATTTTTTTAGTGGCAAATCTGTAGTGGTTAAGAAGGGTATCCGATGAAGTGAACGCTTTTTTTTTGGTCAACTCTTTCAACTGTGTCTATTATTATGGTTAAGACTTTACATGCTGACACCAATCTAACAATTCATGCTACAATATTTTTTGTTTCCTTTTTTTTTTCTGTTGACAGAGAATATGGACAGAAATACTCCTCTCAGCCTCTAATCCTCGTTGATTATCTTTCAGATATGGTTAAAAATAAAGTCACCATCAGCTTCTATGCAAATGAACAGAAATTAGATAAATGCATTGCATTTCTAACAATCAATTTTGTTTTTCGAAATGCTTATGTAAGCATGACGGTATTGTAAATGACCCATTTTTTTTTATCTATCTTGTGTGATGTTTTCACCTGAAAATGAGAGCGGTGATAACTTTTTTAATAACATAATTTTAATCCAAAATTTTAAGACATTAATAAAATTTAATTAATTATTTTATATGTTTTGTATCTGTATGTGAAAAGCCTACTCTAGAACACAGCCTAATGAAAATTGATATCTTATATCCTATGGTTAATGTTAAAATATAAAATTATGTGACCTTTTCAAATAATGGAAAAAATTTATAGTGCACTCGGACCACCGTGATTAGAGATGTAAATGGGTCAGGCCGGCCTATAGGAGCTATCACTTGGCCTATGAAAAGCCTGACCCGGCCTGGCCTTTAAGGTAATTAGAATAGTTACATGCTTGTAGGTAAACCTGTTTAAAAACAAGGCTGTAGGCTAAATATAAAAAGCCTCGCCTGTTTAAGTTTTTAAATAAATTTTTTTTTTATCATATAATGTTGTCAACACACACACACATATATATATATATATATATATATATATATATATATATATATATATATATATATATCAATGTATGCTTAAGTCGTACCTAACTAGCTAATTGAACTTGAAATGTAATCAAAGCATAATAATGAAATATAATAATGAAATGTGGCAGAACAGCTAATTGGAGCTTCACAAGCCCTTGGTGTTTGATGTCCCCGTCCCTGGATCAACACAATTGTATAACAATTTTATAATCTGTATTTTTGTTAAAAAATCTATTTTAAGAATTTTTATAATTTGGACTCATGCTGGAAATATTGTTTAATGAATGAGATATTTATTTTTTTATTTAATTTGCAATATGGTAGCCTAAAAGGTCTCATAGGCCATGTAGGTTTTTATTTTTAAATAACAAAGCAGGTTTGGCCTTTAAATTAAGTCTTTGATAGCTCGTATGCTAGATAGGCTGAACTTTTTTTTATGTAGACCTAGGCCATGAAGGAGAAAGCCTGGCCTGCCTTGGCCTAATTACACCCCTAACCGTAATCCTTCAATTGAAAAATTGACATGTGATTGAATTTTTTTTAAATCTCTCTCCTCATCTCTCTCTCTCTCCTATGCTCCACTGAATATTGTGTGTTCCAGGAGCACTAAATAAGCTCTCCAAATAATGAATATAAATATTAAGTTTTTGGGCTTTTATAGTATTGTTCTCAATTAAAAAAAAAACACCGGGTCTCTCTTAACTTTAGGCTTCTGTGCAAAGTGGTATCATAAAAGTATACACTTTCAACTTGTTCTAATTAATTCCTAAACTTTAAAGTATTCTAATAGATATTTTTATTTAAAATCTGTAAACTCGTTAAGTGTGAATTAACTCTAATATTTCACACATATTAAATTTAGACCCTTGATTATTTTATTATTAAAAATCTTATACATTTTGAGTATTTAAACTGCCCAAATGAAAAAAAAAAAAAAAAAAAACAGTGAGGAGACCACAACCTTGTGACAAAAAGAGGAGAGCAATTCTTTCGATGGGCTTTAGGCTTTGTATGGTGGCTCATAGGCCGTGGCTAACAATTTTCATTTAGTGGTGGCTCACACGTCGTCTAGATAGTTCCGTTCGTGATAAGCCATTAGGTTTGGTCTAATTGTGAGGAGTTTGGGTATTTTGTATTAGGTTATGTATTTAATTTTCATTTATATATATATATAAAGGTAGGATCTTTTTACACCAGTGTCAAATTTTAAATTTGACACCATTGTTTTTTGATCTAACGGTTCTCAGATGAGGTGTCAAATTTTAAATTTGACACCAGTGTCAAAGGATCTTAAAATTTTTATATATATATATATATATATATATATATATATATATATATATATATATATATATATATATAGAGGTAAGATCCTTTGACACTGGTGTATCTGAGAGTCATTGGATCAAAAAAGATCAATGGTGTCACATGCTTACAAATCAGAATCGTTGATCTTTTTTGATCTAACGGCTCTCAGGTGTCAAAGGATCCTACCTCATATATATATATATAAAGTTAGTTCCATTCGTGATTTCTTGGTGGTTGAATGGCTGGGTATTTTAGGAATAAGAAAATTAGGGTTATGTGCAAGACAATAGATATGTGGGTTTTTTTTTTTTTTTATACAAGATATGTGGCCTTTTGATTTGGGTCTTTGTGTTGGTATTGGGTTATGCTCAATGGAATGGGATCTAGTGCTAGAAATGGGGTGGTGTTGTTTTAGGTGGCGTACTTGGGTGAATAGTTCGAGACTTTGAGGTTAGTTGTTATGGGAATTTGTGGTCAATGGCGGCCCTTCACTCTCTTTTGGCTTCCTTTTATGGAAAGATCTATTGGAGTATTAGTTAAGCTTTAGGATTAATTAAGACAGGTTTGAAGTTAACGGTGGCATTTTGCAAAAAGCCCAAAATTTAGGAAGTTTAGTGCACTTTATGTTATTTCTTAGTTACATCATCCTCCTTTTAATGGTTCTCATAGTTCATGTATGAAAATGAATACACGTTATGTTTTATCGAGGAATAGTACCACAATTACATAAGAAATTCTTTTTAAGTTGTAATAAAGTAATTGGTAATATTAATTATTTATGTAAAATTCAATAGCCAAGATTCACTTATGTCACTTCTTACAAGTCCTAATACATTTAAGTTCTTATTTGATATGCGTATTGGATCATTTAAATAGAGTCGACCCAATGATGGATTATGGAGAAATATATTGATTTAGATAATTATTTATTTAAGGATTATTACATTATTTGAAATTGTTGTTACGTCAGCATATTTGCAAATAGATTATTTCTCAAGCCGTGATCAAAAGATCATGAGTTCCAATATAGAATACACCTTCTTTACAAATATATAAAGGTAAAACTGTATATAAAAATTGTTTCCATCCCTATACTAGTTAGTCTAAGTTTAATGGAAAGTGATTTTATTTGAAAATGTCGATAGAGAGAAGAAAAATTGTATTTATTGGCTCGCCTGCATGGTGCATGTCTAATTATAGGGTAACACTGGGGGCTGGAAAATCTATTCTTATAGTGACAAAAGAATTTAATCCATAAAAAATCAAAGATGTAGGACAAACAGCAGAATTTGATCCATATGATTTAGCTACAAGGGTGTTTCTCCACAAACCAAACAGCTTGTACATGCGACAATGTCAAATTGTTTAACAAAGCAAGGCCTGAACACAAAGCAAATAACTTGAACCATCACATGGCAAACTTTCTCAAAATTTTCCTCAAAATATTCACTAAATAGACAAGTTCTGCATACCAAAATACCATCAACTAGAATAACCTGGCAAATTGTTGCAAGCAGGAAAGAGAATGAACGAGGGCCAAAACAGCAAGCTTGGGAATAAACACATAAAAGAAAACATTGCTGCTTGGAAAAGATGACAACACAAAACCAATAATGCAAAATCTGCAAGCCTTCATTGTCAAATAATCTGAGTCATATGCTTCTATAATATTCACCAGAGGAATCAAATTCTCCAAAAGTAACCTACTGTTTGCTTAATCCTCTGCCGCAATGGGTTCTTGTGCCAAGGCAAGCTGAGGATTCTCTTCAACTACTATATCACCATTCACACGAGACTCTACTTCACTTGGCTTATCTGAAGGAACCACATTCAGAGGCAAAGCATTACTTGTCTCACTGGACAAGGTACTGTTCTCTTCATTGGCTGCAGTTATCTCAATTCTCTCTTCCACTGTAACATTGGATAAGATGGTATCTTTTTTTGTTGCACTAGATAAGGAAGTCTTTTTATCATTGATTGCCTTAGATGATTTAGGTGCAGTTGTTGAATTGGATGAACTGACCCTTTCACTAGCCAGTCGAATAGGAAGAGATCTTCGTTGTGGCTTCTTTTGATGGACAGCAGTAATTCCTTTAGTGGGTTTACTCTCTGACACTTTCTCATCCAGACTTAATCGACCTTGTCGAGAACTGCTGCTAGTGTTTCCATCTGACTCTGAATTTGTTGAACTCTTCTTACGACCAAGCTTGGGAGATTTTGCTCTTGTAGTTGGTATCTACATTAGAAATGTCCAATGCTAAAGAAGTTTAATTATCCAAATGACAAGACCAAACTTGCATTATCAAAAGGTTAAATTACTCTGTAGGTCCCTATAGTTATAATGAAATTTTAATTTTAAAAATTTCCTGTAATCTAAAAGTGTTAAGAGCTTTTAAACTATAAAAAGTAATTTAACCTTATCAAAAGAAGATCAAGTAAATAAGCAATGGTCCAGATTACAGAAAATTTTCAAAATAGGATTACAACTATCATCGTTCACAATGACATGTTTGATTAGCAAAACAAGGAATGCAACTTCAATTTACGAGTGACAGAAAACTGAAAATTTGGCATCACTTTATTAGGTAAAAAGGAATTAGAAAGGCATAAAAAGCAGATATGAAAAGAACATGCACATCCTTGCAAGGTATTTGTCGTCAACAAACTGAGTACTCCCACTAAACCATCTACTGATAAGAGGGTTGGTTTTAAAAAAAATTCTGAGTCTAAGCAAGTGGCATCAGTTTAGATGCACTCAATCAGCTTATTCACCTATGTGGATAGATAAGTGAAAAAATCATCTAGGACAACAAATTAAAAATAATAAAATGTTTTCAATCAAATAAAACAAATTTGAAATCTGATGAAAAACCCATAATTTTAAAACAACATATATGCTTAAATCACCAAATCACAATCCAAATCTAAAGGTGTTGTAAATAGTAATTATGTAGTCATTTATTAGTAATTATGTAGTCATTTATTTGTATTTATTTAGTCCATTACTTGTATATTGGGCCAAGCCCATTAGGTCAAAATTAGGTCAAGAAGTCTCTATAAATAGAGACCCCTATATACAGATTCAAATACAAATGAATAATATTTCAAAACCCTTTTTCAAGTTGGTATCAGAGCTCTCGATCCTGAGGGCTCTGCTTCCGCGCCTATTGTCTTTTTTTTTTACAAAACCCTAATTTCTTTGCCTCTTGCCGCCACCGGAAAAATTTTTCCGGAGACCTTTTGAACCAAGGGGACCACTGTTGACCTTCTTATTTTTTTTTCGTTCTATCATTCTACTCAACGTTCCTCCGCCACAAACGATCCAAACACCTCCGACCGCCTTCAACCAGTTCTGTCTTCACCGTTTAGAACCCTTTCCGGTGACTTTTCAATCGCAACCACCCACAGACAGGTGCGCGCTCACCGGACGACCACACTGGAAAAATTTCAGCCGGAGAAGCCTTGCCACGCGCTCTCACGCGCCGCCTCTTTGTCCGAGAGTGAAGCCCACGCGCTGCTGCTTTCTCCGGCGCGTGGAGGCGCGTCCGGCGGTGTTTCTGGACCAGACCACCACTATTCTTCTCGTCTCCTTGTTCTCTTTCTGGATCTGTGTTTTTTTCTCAGATCGGACATCGTTTGGTATTTTTTCCTAATTTTTTGGGTTCTTAGAGCCTTTTTCGTTGACTGTTTTTTGTGCAGTATGGCCTCTTCTCAAAGGAGTTCCTTTACAAAGTTTTATGATGGTGCATCTTCTAAACCTAAGAGAGATGATCGATGGTGTTCTTATTGTAAAAGAACAGGTCATATCAAGGATTTATGCTTTCGCCTCCATGGAAAGCAAATTGTCTTAGAAAAGATGGCAAGGATGCGTGGTCAAGCGCATTTTACTTCCTTTGGAATAACTCTTGCACCTAATGAGACCCAACCTGCATTTCGTCTAGATGAGTTAGAACGGCTCCGAACCATCCTTGATTATCTGAGTAAGCCATCTGATACTAGTGCTTTGGCTTTGACTGGTATGAGCCCCAAAACTCATTCTTTCCTTTCTTCATATGATTTTAAACATTACTGGGTTGTTGATTCTGGTGCTACTGATCATATGGCTTGTTGTGCTGACTCCTTTGCTTCTTATCATCCTACCATTGGAACTCATACTATAGCCATAGCTGATGGCCCACATACATCAGTTGCGGGTTCTGGTGACATAAACTTACAGCAGTCCTTACATCTTAAAGATGCTCTTCATGTTCCTAAACTCTCCACGAATCTTCTTTCTATTCATAAAATTACAAAAGATCTGAATTGTACTGTAACCTTCTTCCCTACCCATTGTGTTTTTCAGGATCTCGCCACGGGGAAGACGATTGGTAGTGCTAAAGAGCAAGGTGGGCTGTACTATCTGGTGTCACAATCTCCCACAAATAAAGTAACAGGTCACATCTTGATGTCTCATGGTCAATCAACTGCTGATTCTTTGATTTGGCTTCATCATAAGCGCTTGGGACATCCTCCATTTGGTTTACTCAAGTCTTTATTTCCGTCATTGTTTTTATCTAATCCTGTTGAGTCTTTTCATTGTGATGTTTGTGAGTTTGCTAAGCATCATCGTGTGTCTTTTCCTTCTAGTAGTACTAAGAGTGTTGAACCTTTTGATCTTATTCATTCTGATGTTTGGGGTCCTTCTAAAGTCCCTCATGCTTCTGGAAATAGATGGTTTGTTTCTTTTATTGATGATTGCACTCGTGTAACTTGGGTTTACTTAATGCATGAAAAGTCTGAGGTACCACATCTGTTCTTTCAATTTTATAAAATGGTTGAGACCCAATTTGGTAGAAAAATCAAGAGACTAAGAACAGATAATGGTACTGAATATGTTAATCACAGTTTTTCCCAATTTATACGAAATCAAGGTATGATTCATGAACTTACTTGTGTAGACACCCCTCAACAAAATGGGGTTGCTGAAAGAAAAAATCGTCACCTTCTTGAAGTTGCTCGTGCCTTACTGTTTCAAACACATGTACCCAAATGCTATTGGGGAGATGTCATTCTTACTGCAGCGTTCTTGATCAACCGTCTACCCACTCGGGTTCTCGATCATGTAAGTCTTATTCACTCCATGACTTCTTTTTTTCCTTCTGTTCCAACTTTGCAAAGTCTTCCTCCTCGAGTGTTTGAGTGTGTTGTCTTTGTTCATGTTCATAAACAGCATCGCAGTAAGTTGGATCCTAGGGCTCTTAAATGTGTCTTCCTTGGATATGCTCCTGATAAGAAGGGCTACAAGTGTTATCACCCTGGTAGTCGAATTTTTTTTGTTTCTATGGATGTTACATTTCAGGAATCTGAGTCCTTTTTCCAAGGTCCTCATCTTCAGGGGGAGAATAATTCACTAGAAGACTCATCACCTTCCTTCTTTGAATTTGAATCTTCAGTGTCTACTCCTTCACCTGAGTCAGTGTCTCTTCCTCTTGTTCCTGTTCCCAATGTCTATGTCTGATCCTCCTGTGACTGATCCTCCTATGACTGATACACAGCCCACATTGCCTCAGCAGCAACCTCAATCGTCTGAACCACTGGTAAGTCCTGAATCTCATATTTCTGATCATGATACTTCTGATGACTTACCCATTACTACTGATTCTGATGATTTACCCATTGCTCTTAGAAAAGGAAAAAGATCATGTCCCAAGAAATCTTGTTCCTCTTGTACTCAATACCCTATCTCCCATTTTGTCTCCTCTGCTAATCTGTCTGTGCAGCACAAAAGCTTTGTTTCAGCACTAGACTCTATTGCAATCCCAAAATCAGTACATGAAGCCTTGAAAGATGGGAATTGGGCTCAAGCCATGCAAGAGGAGATGAATGCATTGGAGAAAAATAAAACATGGGAGGTTATTGATAGACCTATTGGAAAGAAAGCAGTAGGGTGCAGATGGGTTTATGCCCTGAAATATAATTCTGATGGAACTCTTGAGAGATACAAAGCTCGATTAGTTGCCAAAGGTTACTCTCAAACCTATGGCATTGATTATGAAGAAACATTTGCTCCAGTTGCAAAGATGAATACGGTGTGAGTTTTGTTATCCCTTGCTGCCCATTACAATTGGGATATAAACCAATTTGATGTGAAGAATGCTTTCCTCAATGGTGAGTTAGAAGAAGAAGTCTACATGGAAATTCCGCCTGGTTTTGATTCTGTGAAGGGAGAAAATAAAGTTTGTAAATTAAAAAAGGCCTTGTATGGATTGAAGCAGTCACCTCGTGCCTGGTTTGGAAAGTTTACTAAGGTTATGATAACCTTAGGATATAAACAAAGTCAAGGAGATCACACTCTTTTTTTCAAGCACTCCCAAAATGGGAAGCTTATTGTGCTCCTTGTATATGTTGATGATATTATTATCACAGGTGATGATTTTGTGGAGAGACAGATTCTGCAAACACGGCTTGCCTCTGAGTTTGAAGTCAAAAACCTTGGGAAACTGAGATATTTCCTAGGGATAGAAGTAGCTCATTCGAGCAAAGGAATCTTTATCAGCCAGAGGAAATATGTTCTTGATCTTCTCAAAGAAGCAGGAAAGCTCGGGTGTAAACCCTCTAATACTCTTATTGAGCAGAATCACAAGATGTGCTATGAAGAGGAGAGTCCTCCAGTTGATAAAGGACAATATCAACGGCTAGATGGGAAATTGATATATTTGGCCCATACTAGACCAGACTTAGCTTATGCTGTTAGTGTTGTCAGTCAGTTTATGCACGATCCAAAGGAGAAACATATGCAGGCAGTGGAGAGAATTCTTTAGTATCTGAAAGGTACTCCTGGTAAAGGGTTGTTATTCCGACGTGATGGCAATCTATCTTTAGAAGTCTACACAGATGCTGATTATGCTGGATCCGTGACTGACCGTCGTTCTACCACTGGTTATTGCATGTTTCTTTGTGGTAACTTGGTGACATGGAGAAGTAAGAAACAAGATGTGGTCGCCAGATCAAGTGCAAAAGCTGAATTTCGAGCTATGGCTCAAGGCATTTGTGAGTTACTGTGGCTAAAAATTGTACTTGATGATCTAAAAATAAAATGTGAGGGACCTATGAAGCTGCTATGTGATAATAAGTCCGCTATTTGTATAACTCATAATCCAGTTCAACATGATCGGACTAAACATATTGAGGTCGACCGCCATTTCATCAAAGAGAAACTTGATAGCGGGTTGATTACCACTCCATACATTCCCACTGGGCGTCAATTAGCTGATCTATTGACAAAGGGACTTCCTTCAGATAGATTTCAAGAACTTGCTAGCAAGCTGGGAATGATAAATATCTATTCCTCAGCTTGAGGGGGAGTGTTGTAAATAGTAATTATGTAGTCATTTGTTAGTAATTATGTAGTCATTTATTTGTATTTATTTAGTCCGTTACTTGTATATTGGGCCAAGCCCATTAGGTCAAAATTAGGTCAAGAAGTCTCTATAAATAGAGACCCCTATATACAGATTCAAATACAAATCAATAATATTTCAAAACCCTTTTTCAAGTAAAGGTTTCTCACAGAGATTGATGGAAGCAGGTAATTGCACAAGATGATGTAATATTCTAATTGATAGTCTACTTTTTGAAAGATAACATTTCATATTTACCAATTGAAATTGACATAATAATAAAAGGTCACACGTTCGAATCCAAAAATCAGCCTCTTTGCAGTTATGCAAGGGTAAGGCTGGGTACAAGGAATGCCCTCATCCCACCCTCGCTAGTTGGAGTTTAATGGGGATTGGTTTTTTTTTAATAATGTACATCAATCTAACCATGTATTTCACCTCCTCACAAATAATGGCTGAACACCAGAAAACAAAATTTTTTTAGCAATGCCAGAACTATATACCAAATCTCCATAATGAGCTAGTAATGCTGCTTTCAAAATGGAAGTTTTCTTCTATTTTTATATCTGTCACATCTACAGGTTTATGCATTAGACAAAAAGAGCAGAACTATGGGAGTAACTAATAAGTGAATCTATAATGTGTGAAGATCAAACGTTTTGTAATTACAGGGTATTTAAGAACAAGCAATAAACTTAATAAGATAGAAACCAATTGATGGAGAGAAGTGGGAACATGAGAGTGCTATTTACCAATTGTTTTCAGAAGATTATATGCTTTCTCTCAAACAACATGTGAGTGTGTTTGCACCAGTTTACTTGTGGATTCACAAAGCAGCACATATACAACATATACATTACATATGGCTTCAACACAATTAAAATTTTCTGAAATTAATTAGTGCAGACTGAAGAGTACACATGCAAGGCATGCATGCAACACAAAAACACAGAGAAAGAGAGAAATTTACCTTCTTCAGCTCCACCTTAGGAGGAGGAGGCTCCTGGTAAAAAGTTGGCATTGGAGTTGCTTTAAATGTTAGACTCTTCCTCAGCATTTTAATCTCAGCTTCTTGGCTCTCCTATAAAGGAGGGAAAGAATGACGTGATTAAAAGGCAAACTCTACAATTTACATTTCAGGCCAGATATCAAATATTCTCACCATGGTTTTTGCTTGCATGTTACTTTTCTCCACCTCCTTTGCATGAATCTTTTCCTCAAGCTTAGTGTAGAACTGCCCACCAGAATATCAATTCATTTTTTAAAACTACAAGCTTATTCAAAAGAAACCTGGACAATGACACAGTAGGTGGAAAAAAGTATGTACTAACTATTTACCTCTTTTCTTCTCTCAGCTCGATCACCGCATCTGAAACTGAATCCGTAATTTGGAAGTGTCCCCACCCTGCGAGATTTGGCATCTTCTGCATTGGTACTTCTAAGTAGATTAAGTATAAACTACAATAATAGAAAGCATCTGATAGAAACATTGATCTCTATGAACAAATCAAGTCAGAAGAAACAGGGGCAATTAATAGAGGTTGTGGGAAATGTTAGTGGGGGGTAGTTTTAACTGCAGTAGTGGGCAGTTATGGAAAGAGATGGTAGTGTAGGATTGTCTTTATAAGGCTAGGCTGTTAGTTAGGAAGGTAGGTTGGTTTTATGTAATTTTCTGGTCTGCTTACGCAGAGAACTTGGAGAAGGGTCTTCAAGTTGGGGCAATTCTTGCTCATTGTGTTCCCTTGCATTGTATATTTTCCTTTTACATTAATAAAATACCTCTTTCCAGTAAGATAGGAGAACAGAATCCTATCAGCATCACACTCAATAATAAGATTAAATAACAAAGAAATGCAGTAGTTTCCTATTTTCACTCACTAGGAGGAATAAATAAACCCAAAAAGAAAGGATACAATGAAGATTCTGCTTCTCCTTGGACTTTATCAAGGGGACCTTTTTTCAATGATTTTGGTTTTGTATTCTGCCTGTATCCAACAAATCACAGTCCACCAGTTAGATATTTACAATCATCAATTATATGTATTTCTCTTAGGATGAAACATTGACAAATAAATGCAAGCATTACATACATTGGTACTTCAGAAGATGCTGCATCAGACTTTGAAGGGTGCTGAGAAAAGCACATTACAAAAACTATCAGGGAATGCCAAAAATATAATTTTTGTTACCCAAAACATAAAAAAGATAAAAGAATAAACAAAAGAAGCACAATGATCTGAGTTCCTTAGTAAATATTTTAGAAAGCAAGCACAGGTAACAACAGAGTTTACCTTGGACAATTGAGTCTGCCGTTCACTTAATGATCTGCTTTTAATAGACTGCTTTGGATGAGAGTCTAAAGCTTTAGTACCATTTGAAACAGCAGATAATGCCTCTTTATCTTTCCCATTTTTGCTCCTTTTCATCAAACTTGCACGAACACCAGTGGAACTTGGAGCCTTTGCATTCTTATTCTTGACAGGAACTGTTTGTGCTCTCAATTTCCCTGTTTGATCAGTTATTTTCCCTTCCTCGTCCTAGAATTGAGCAAATGTTAGAGATTCAAATAATATAACTAACTTATCAAAATCAATTCAAGAAAACAAAATCCTCTAAACCTTAGAAATGGTCATATTGTTTCCATCCATGTTGTCGTTTGATCCTTTGATTTCCGCCACAGATGTGTTATCAGTTGCAACGCTATCTGACCGGTTGAAATTATCAGAATTTCCACTTGGAGCTACAGATTCTGTAGTTTCAGTAACACCAGGGTCTAAATCATTTGAAACAACACGAACCTCTCCAGAATTAGAAGGTTCATCATGAACACCATTTTGGTGGACCACTTCAAGCCATTCAGCAGGTGACACGTTAATTGGATCCATCATTCACACTTAAGCTACAAGTTACATAGAAACAATAAACAGTGGCTTAGAGATGATTAAACACGAGAAGACCACAATAAACAAATTCAAATCATTAAAGTTTAACCATTCCTCCTGTGTTTATATAAAAATTTAAGTTGCTGCCCATACAGCCAGGCTGATCTTAAAATATACATAGACAAATTCACAAACAATTTTTTCTTTTCCACTCTTAGACCAAATAGGGATTACTGTCTTCCAGAAAATAGTGTTCATCAGACAGCACTGGGTGTAATAGCAACTTACCCACTTGAAGAAGAAAGACAGGAGTGAGATGACAAAATAGTAGACCTGTCAGGTTGTGCCAGAAGTTATTTACCAGTCAAATGGGAGTAAGCAACGCAACACAACACAACACAACATAATCATCATAATTCAGAAGTTTCAGTTAATTTTATTTTGCCTGGGGTGAGACAGTTTAAGTCAAATATGATAAAAATATAAACAACCCGTTTTCAAAGTCATGGACATTAATCAATAATGATAACACGAATGTAGAGCAATTTGATGGTATAATCTTCTCTTGTTTGCCTAGTGCATGAAGAAAAATTGGGAAGGACTTTTTTAATGAGACACAAAAAAAGAGAGGGGGAAAGATGAGACAATCAAGCTTCAAAGTTCAAATAATTGAGAGTGAGAAACCTAATTGAAAGCTCTAAACTGAATTTCTTCTGCTGCATTTGCTTAGCAACCAAGTAGAAAAACTCTTTCTATAAAACTAATTTAAACAAGATATGATTGATGACTAAAAAAAGATTCCAAAAAATCAAAAAATCAAAAAAAAAATTCCAAGTATCAAATCCAACACTGAACTCCTAATGCCACGAAATAATCCAATGACAACCCAAGTTCCGTTTTTGAGACAGGAAATCCATAAAAAAAAAAAAAAAAAAACAAATCAAAAAATAAATAACCACAAAATCTTAGGATTTCAGACCAAATATTAAAAAAAATGAGATTTTTTTGGTCCACAGTTTTCAGTCCTCAACAGTTGTTAAGTGAAATTCCACGCCGTGACGGGTTACCTGGTAAAAGGGTAGTCAAAACGCCATCAAAAGGTGGGTACTGAATACCATTGAACAAGCAATGACTCGAAGAGTGTGCAGTGCAGAGAACAGAGATCTTGCCCCCAGAAAGAAGAAGAAGAAGAAAGGGACAACCCAGAATAGGGATGGAGTAGAGGATCACGATCCGAGGATCCACACACAATCCAGCAACAAGATCCGTAAGATTGAAACTATAGATGTTGCTGACGATTTATCTTTTTTATATTATATGTGAAAACAAAAATAGAGGCAAAGAACGAAGAGCGTAAGAGAGAGAGAGAGAGAGAGAGAGAGAGAGGAGCGGTTTTGAAATCCAACTAGAGGTGAGGTTGCTCTTTCTCACTGTAAATGGCGAGTGAGTGAGTGAGTGAGTCTCACACGGACACAGACAGACACAGTCACACAGAGACAGCGTCAGAATATACGGTTGCGTTAAGATAAATAGATAATATACGGTTTTTACGGTTCCCACGCAGGCACGGTTACTAAACCACCGCCCTCACTCTTATTAATTTTTGTGTTTTTTTTGTTTTGGTGAGCTTAATTTTGCGTTTTATTTAACATGATATGGTTGAATGGAAGAATTATAATTATATAAAAGAAATTAATGTTGATAATTTTGTAACTATTGATTCTAGGGAATAACATCTATCCTTTTAAAGGATATAAGTTTATATCCTTTTAGATTTTAACCGTTGATTTTCGTCCATCAACGGTTATAATTTATTGGATTAAAATTATTAATTAATTAATAATAAATTTAGCTTATTAAGTTTGACCCAATAGATTATAACTTTTGATGGACGGAAATCAACGATTAGGATTTAAAATGATATAAGTTTATATCCTTTAAAATGATAGATGTTTTTCCCTTTATTTTAATATATTTTTTCTCTCCCTTTTTTAGTATTCTAATTTTGTAGTCTACCCTTTGCACAAATTTTCAATTCGTATCCTAATTTTTTCAATACAAAATCCTAACCTTTTAGAATTTAAAAACCCTATTACACAAGGATTCTCAAGTTACTCTCAATTTTTAAGAAAAAGAGATACGCTGGTATCCCAGTTTGTCAGTACAAGAATTGGTATCCAAGTTTTTCAGTACAAACTTTCAAAAAGGTCAAAAAGAAAATTACAATTAAAGTGATTTACCTCAGTGTTTTTTCCTTGGAGAACTAGTCATTTTGCCAAAGGATGAATGTATGAATGATTATTTTCAATTGATGTACGACAAAGAATCCTAATTTTGAAAACTCAATTCTTTTTTTTTCTTGTATATTTTTCTCTCCTCTCTCTTTTTGTATTCTCCCATTTCATGAATAATATGCGATGAGCCATATTTATAATAATAACACTTTCTCTCTCCTAAAAGTCCAAAGATATAAATTTGAAATTTGAAATCTTTTCCAAAAACCAACCATAAATTTTTTACCCTTAAATGAAATCTTAAATGTAATTTTCAAAAATAAGATTTCTTATTTTTTCTAATAAAAAATATGTAAAGCTTAAATATCTTAATATGTTATACAATGGAATTCTAATCTAAATCTTTGACAGAGAATATTTTATTTATTTTACATGAAATATAAAATGATAAAATCTATTCTAAACTTTACTTGATTTCATACTTATCTCTTCATAATATCTTTCATATCTTCTTCAATCTTCATGCAATATTCAATTATCTTGAATACTATTTCAAATCAGAATAAATATTATTCTGAAATCTCAAACAATAAGTTCATTAGTAATTTCAAGACAACAAATTGTTATCAATTAAATTAGGGTTTTCTTTTTCTACAGTTACTGTAAATAAGTTATCTGCAGCAAGCCAATACGACGTTGTTTTGGGACGAAAATCATGGTGTTTTTGTAATTTTAATTTATTTCAGGGTTATAATAGTCTTTATATTTATAATTTTTTAATATTTCAATACCAAAACAACATCGTTTTATGAATAAATGCAGATAATTTATCTGCATTAACTGCAGAAACATTTATCCCATTAAATTGATTTTAATCACCAAAATATATTTTAAATCAATTAAGTTATAACAAATATCCAACATTATAGACAAATTAATTATGATCAGAGATAAAAGAGAAAAATGTTAGGATATAAATTGATAAAATAAATGATTAGTTACTCTCACGTGATATTGTTAAATAATTCATAAGAGGATTCACTCACAAAAAATAAATCACAAAACACATAAATTAATAAGTAATTTCAAACTATTTATAAATAAATAAAAAAGTAATTTCAAATTTGATACTCGCTAATTCGAGTCCTGGATATGCAACTATAGCAAATTTGATAGGGAGAATATAATTTTGCCATTCCAGTGATTCTGATCGTATCGAACTGAATTTGTCAAGTAGTGATATATTAGGAAAGAAATATAAAAAATAAAATGTTTGATATATTAAGAAATTAAAAAATGTCTTTTTTTTAGAAATTAAAATAGTTAATTGAAGCTATTAAATATTTATTAGTCAGTGTCTTAAAACCGTTATAATTTTTTCCTATTTTTTAATCTGATTATATGTTGTCAATCGAAAGGTCAGTATATTTTTTTTTACCATTGATAGTTAGATCAAATTTTAGTATTATTGTTGAAACGGGAATAAATGATGAATAGTTATTATTTCGCAGAATAAATAAAAAAAAAAAATTCATTCTCTTTTTTATTTTAGAGAATATGCGGAAAAGATTTACCACCTAAATTTAGAAAATGATCCGGCCTTTTGTGTTTATTTGTTATTTCTTTTCTAATTCTTATGTTTAAAAAGAAAGAAAGATATAGATAGATTATTTTCACATATTTTAATTTATTGGATTCAACTAGGATGCATCATGCATGTGTGAAAACTGAAGATAGCATCATTTGGGCTTTTTGACCCTTTTGCCCTTCATTAATTAATTAATAACCAATTTGTCCCTGATCCAGAACTATCCACCAACCTGCCCTCTTTTAGTCGACTACCTTGCTTTTTTAGTCGAGCAAATGGTCAAAATTCAGAATGTAGACTACACCAAATTTAGTCGACTAAAAAATCATCTTGATCGACTAAATTTTTGGGATATTTAGTCGACTAAGGCACGATATTTAGTCGACTAAATATCGACGGATTTGTTTTTAAAAACCCCCTCATTCGGCAGAGGGGGGGTAGTAAACCTAATCGACTAAGGAGACGGCCCAAACCCCAAGTTCGCAGGAGCAGCTGAAGAACGCCACAAACCCTTCCCTCAGGCGTGTGGATTGCACCAAAATACGGTCCAAATCGTGAAATCTCAAGGATAGGTAAGGTTTCTTGACTTGCATTGTGTTTTAGGTTTTGGAATTTTTTTTATTTGTTTGCTGTCCGAATTTTTGAACCCTAATCAAAGCATTTGTTTTAGGTTTTGTAACCCTAATCTATTAAGGTTTATTTTTTTGCATTGTGTGAATTTTTTTGTTTGAAAAGTTTGTATGTGGGAAAAGTTTGCTTTTGATTTACAGCCCTTATGTTGCAAGTTTTCATTACCATCATGACATGTTTCATTGTAGGTACCCTAAACAAATGACGGGCCGCAGAAGACCAAGCGATGAGGGCAATGAGTCACTTGAGAGACGCACCAAGCATAGGCAAGAGCGGCCTTCTTCGTCAAGGCCACAAGACGAAGAGCCTGATACTGTTGACCTCCCGTATGGGTATCTGTTTGAGGACGACCCTGTCGTCCACGCTTCATTCGTACGTGACCATTTGAACCGGCCGTTATGTGCTCCAAAATCTTTGGATACAGCCTTTTTTGATAATGAGGGATTTGAAATTGTGGGGGTGTTGGAGGCGGCACATCTGAGGGTGTTGGCCGAGACCCTATGTCCGTATTCAGAGCTTATTGTGCGGGCCTTCTACCATAACCTCAGCTACGTACAGGGCGAGCTGAAGTCGAGGGTCTGTGGAATAAAGATCATCATGACGGCACCTGCATGGTTGGAGATACTCGGCTATGATTTTGACTCTTCTCAGACTGTGGCGTATGACGCTGATAGTGGTGTAGTACTTCCAGGATATGTACGAGAGGATGCCGTGCAGGAGCAGAGAAAAGTCCGTGGGGAACACTTGCACTATACGGTGGGGTTGCTTTCTGTGGAGTTCCGTATACTACACTATGTCCTCACCCACGTTCTGTTTCCGCGATCTTTTAATCATTCCAGGGTGTTGGAACATGACATTCCCATTATGTGGGCTATCCGACATGCCCAGATGGTGAACTGGAGGCACTATATCTGTTGGTTTATGTTTAAGGCCAAACTTAAGGGTCATCTTCCATACGCCTGTCTGTCAGCCTTATCCGTATACACTCGACGTTCATCAACACATTGGTCCGTATCAATCTTGAACGCAGAACCCACATTAACCTGCGTCATGTATGTCAGCCAACCAGGCAAGAATGCATACGATTTATCCCAGTCGCCAAATAACTTGACAATGGCTTTCATTTTAGCCTTCCAAGCTTTCCTGTAAGATATGTTGTATCCATACAAACGTTGTACCCTCTCTTGAATAAGAACTGGCTTCAATGATGGATCTTCTTTTAACATACCTATATAAAAAAAAACACCGACCAACAGTCAGAATACAAACTGATTAACGTAAACATACCTTAGGAAGTTAGATATATCGAATAATACATACTGATAATGGTTGCACATATCACATCAGAATCCAATTGTCTATGATCCCGGGTAAGACCTTGGTTTAGGCAGGTGTGTTCTTTAACCCACTTACTGACCACCCAAGTATTTCCATTCTTCGGCAACAATGCCCTCACATACCAGGGATATCCGTCATTATGGTGTCGACACTTCATCACAAATCTATGGTCATCACTTTTTGCCACAACGGCAGTACGGTGAGCCTTCATACAATATAATTTGACTGCATGTTGCATTTCAGATTTGCTACGAAACTCCTGATACAAATATAAAAGATCCCCTAACTGCCAGCCACCGTGATCATCATCGTCACCATACAATATCTCCGTCTCATCATTAGGGTGGGCGCAATTAATGAAGGAATAATATGAGCTTTCATTCCAAAATGGCTCGACCTCAGAACCTACGGATGCATTATAATGCCACCGTCAATACCATTCATAACAAAAAAAATAATTGCTAAATTAAATCTTTAAAAAACGAATCTTACCACTGCTAACAGGGTCAACACGAAGTGGTCTCGTAACCTGCAAACCCGGGGATGGTGAGCTTGTGTCAGCGTCGAAATCACCCTCTACGTCATTATCTGACATGTCACCTAGCGGAATAACACTCTCAGGTTCACCGTCCTCATCGTTGTCCATA